AATTCTCATTAATTCAGTGGTTTTCATTGGGGTGTTCATGAGGCTAATTGGATGCGGTCTGGATGCGGGCTGGCTAACTCAGGCCGCGGGCTAAAGTTTAGGACTGCCAGGCTAAGCTGCTGGGCATGACGGTGTGTGTTCTAGACCGCCAGGCTTGCAATTTTTAAAGTCAAATATCTTGATAAATTTGTACATTCTGACCATAAAAAAAGCAACCTGGTACTGAAGATAGCATGATCTTTCCAATGGCATGCAAAAGTTCACTGTACATCCAGGAATAACAAAGTTGAAAATCAGGGGTTTCAACATAGCTGTCTCAAAATTCGGAAAGTGACATTCCGAAATTGAGGTGACCAGTGTTTTAACACCAAATCTCTTCCTGATTGTCTGGAAAATAACTGCACTAGTATAACAAGTTTGATAAATGTCAACAGAATGCGATAAATACAGAGTAAGATTGACATAACGATGCACGATGCCATTGGCGCACCCTGATCTCGGAATAGCCGAGTGTTCTCGCCAGGCCTTTTGAGCATAGGGGCCCCCTATGCTGTGATTTGGGCCCCCTATGCTGTGATTTGGACCCCCTATGCTGTCTTTCAACCAGCATAGTTTTTTGGCATTGTTTTGGGAGGAGAAACTTCATAAATCTTGCATAAAATGAAAGTATAACTCTAGAATGAAGCTATAGCCTTAACTTCACAAAATCTGTCCCTCAATAAACAAGAAATAGTGTCTCAGGGGGTTATGAGTTTCAAAATTTTTAGGCTCAATACACGACTTGCGCCGCGAAAGTTTTCCTTCGGTACCTGACCCCTATGATGTGAAAAAATCCTGGTGAGACCACTGAGATGCTATTGACACAGTTAGCAAGTTAACAAAGACAGCCTCTGGTTCATATATAGTCCACTGTGGAGGAAACAGACAACATTTTGACATAGAATGTCAATGAAGGTTAGACATTTTCACATGGGTTAGAAACTATCGACACATAATTTAATAAGAACACCCCTCGGTCCAGACGCAGTGCACTGTGGAGGAAATGGAGAACATATTCACACAGAAATGCTACAAGCTGACAACTAGCAACACGGATCATTGGTAAAGGTTGGACATCCAGGAAATGAGATGCACAAGAAAACAGTTACTCAACAGATTTTGAAAAGTGTTTCGCAGTGAAAAGTAGTGGATGCTACATGAAACACCTGAGAGTTTTCCAAGTATTTCCAGTTGCTTGTAATAGTAGCTGTTTTCTTGCACCACTCTTGGGGATGTTTTGAATGGCCTCCACTACTTTTCACTGCTGCAGTGGAGCTGACAACTTTTCAAAGTCTAACCAGTTGCTTGTAAAGAGTAACTGATAATGAGTAAAGACCCCCCCCCTTCTGCAGTGGAACTTACCACACTTGGGGATGTCGCACCCCTCTGCGCGAGTGGACTCGTCCGTGGTGAAGCAGAAGGGCGTGTCCATCTCGTTGCCAGGGTTACGGCAGTAGTTATGTCCGCCGGCGAGCTCCGGGTACTGCGAGGCGCGCAGGAAGTGCACGTGGGGGGTCTCCGTGTTCCACGCCTGGCATGGGATCCCCGACTTCGTCATGGCAACCGTTCCCCGGTAACCACCGCCCTTCCCCTCGTAACACGTGTGACCTGTGGGGGGAGAGGTTAAAGGTCAAACAAGGTCAGTGACCTTCATAAACTCTATAAAATAAAGTCCCTCTATATAAGGAGGTGATAAGGCCTGTTGCCACAGTTGGCAAAGGCTGGCATGGAATGGGTATGGTAACCATGGTAACAGTAACCATGGGAACAGTAACCATGGTAACAGTAACCATGGCAACAGTAACCATGGGATCGTGGTACTTACTGTGGTTGATGTGTGACATGGTGGGAATGCTAATGCGGATGCAGTTTGCGGACTCGGGCGTCCCGATCAGCGGGTTATGGTAACCATGGTAACAGTAACCATGGTAACAGTAACCATGGTAACGCAGTACTTACTGCGGTTGATGTGGGACATGGTGGGGATCCCGATGCGGATGCAGTTGGCGGACTCGGGCGTCCCGATGAGCGGCAGCTCGGAGCAGTCCGGCAGGATCCACTCCCCGATGAGGTGGTGCGTCTTGGCCAGGATGTACTCCGTCTTGCAGATGTCGTTCTCCAGAATCTCGCACTCGTCTCGGCACAGCTGGCGCGGCTGCGGGTAGGGAAGTGCTCGTCGCAGTACTTAAAGGCGTAGTGGCACAGCGAGGGGATCGCGTAGTCGGCACAGCGCTTGGTCAGGTCGCTGGACGTCCCGATCACTGTGAACGCTGCTGTCAGCTGGTTCTCTATTATACCTGCGGGTAAACAAACAAACAAACAAACATGAGTAAAGTGGCACAGCGAGGGAATCGCGTAGTCGGCACAGCGCTTGGTCAGGTCGCTGGACGTCCCGATCACTGTGAACGCTGCTGTCAGCTGGTTCTCTATTATACCTGCGGACAAACAAACAAACAAACAAACATGAGTAAAGTGGCACAGCGAGGGGATCGCGTAGTCGGCACAGCGCTTGGTCAGGTCGCTGGACGTCCCGATCACTGTGAACGCTGCTGTCAGCTGGTTCTCTATTATACCTGCGGATAAACAAACAAACAAACAAACAAACATGAGTAAAGTGGCACAGCGAGGGAATCGCGTAGTCGGCACAGCGCTACGGAAAAACAAACAAACAAACATTCATCAGCTGGTTCTCGATTATACCTGCGGAAAAACGTCCTGCTTGTGTTAGAACAAAATTAAGCCTGCATTGTAAGAACATTTAAATGCTTGGGAAATACTAAAAAAAATGTCAGCAACTTAATTTTTATTTCTCGAGTGAAGCCTGTGCATGGATTTCTCTAGTCAGTCTGCTCTGTTGTACTCACACAAGCACCAACTGGTGCTCTAGGCTTAACACTTAGATATGTGTGTGGAACAATCTTAAGAAGTTATGTTTAACTTTACATTCATAGCCTGTACGCTGTAACATTAGTTCTGAAGGTTCAGCCAAATCATCTGGACAGTGATAACGTTGCAGAAGTCAGACTAGAATGCCTAAAATGACTGACCCTGAGCCCGGAGTGTGTCCATGTAGATTGTTGCGTTTCCGATGAACTTTCGGCAGGCAGCACCTCGGTACTGCTGACAGTAACCTCCCCTGTGGAACAATAGAAACACCTTCAACAACAACTTCACAATACTGTACAACTTACATGTTGTAAGTATGGCTAACAATAAATATTAAGATAAATATAACATTCATGTCACAATAAACCATGGCTAACAAGCCATGTCACTTTCCTGGACAAAAAGTAGCCAAGTTTTGCTTCAGGTCAGGACAGAAAAGTTTCAGTTGCCTGCAGAAAATGACTTTTCAGCACAATTTCACACTTATAGACAGTGCCAAACTTTCTCCCAGAGGTTACAGAAAGAACCAAAAGATGACGCTAAAAGAAAAGTACAAGGAACCCACCTTAAAACTTAAAACCCTTCGTTTCTGGCTCATATTTTTGCCTAACTTTGACCCTAATAAAGAAGCAGAGAAACAGAACTTACATTTCTCCGCTTGACGTGGCAGGTGTGTGTGAGTCTGTAATGCAAACAGGAGACAAAGTTATCATAACGAATCAGCAAATTTAGAACAAACAAACAAAGTAATATGAAAATGACTTCAAACAACCCTAACTGCACATTGTTACTCCTGGTCCAAGCCTTATTTTTGTTCAGTTTTGTCACTCATGCCATTGGATCATTGTGAAAATTCAGTGTAGACTGATCCGAAAACAGTCCAGTTGTAGCTTTTAGTACAATTGGGAGGCATTATTTTTTTATTTTTTTCTAACGGTGTTGCTCAATGCAAGGCCAATTATTTTGGCCACTTCTAGGCATAGAGCTAGAGGTACTTAAGTGAGTATAATGTAGTTATGTCAGGAGATGGCGGTGGACCTTTGTTTTGAAGCTTTGTGGATTGTAGTCGGACGGAAAGCAACTGTTTGGAAGATTTGGTACTCGCGTTAGCCTGGGTACCATCCTGGTTAGTTTATCTCTGCTCTGATAGATGCTAATGTTGGTGGGTAGCAACTATCGGAGCGGACGTAAACTAACCAGGATGGTACCCAGGCCACATTCAGATATCAATGTGCAGTCAGAAACACTTGGACATGACATTGTTGTACAGTTAATCAAGTCTAGTCATTTTCTACATAAACGAACGAAACACCGGGACAAACAGGTTTATATAAGCGACAGTTAAGAACGAGGGAGGGACAGGTTGGGTGGAAGTTTGCCTTCAGGGTTTACAGAAAAGCAGCAAACTTGGAACTTTCTAAAAAGCAGAAGCAAAAATGGGAAAAAAAGTTTCCTTTAAAAAAATTGAAACAAAAAAAAAAGGCAACTTCAGTTGGGAAAATGCTCTGCACCGCTAAAAACTGGTTAGAAAAAGGAAACAGAAATGGAGGTCGGAGGTCAGGAGAGAGAAACCAAAACCACGCCCTACTCTATCAGGGTCAGAGGTTGGCCGCCGACCTTTCACCTACGACCTTTCACCCAGAGGAAATGCATGATGATTGGGAACTTACCGTCCATGTACTTTACATAGAGAATACCCGTGGTTGCAATGGACTGGTGTTCGTTGCTGGCTACACATCGGTAATATCCAGTATCCTGCGTTTCCACGTGCCTGATTCTCAGGCGAGAACCCCACTCGTAATTTCTAATGTCTATCCGAAGGTTTTTCTCGGCAGAAAGCGGGGCATCGTTTCGGTACCACCTAAAGACGGGGGTGGGCATCCCCGCGACCTTGCAATTCAGGTTTGCCCTGTTCCCGACTTGGACTGTCTCATTGTTCATGGGCCGTACCAACCGCAGAGCTCCGGGGGGGTTGCTCGCTGTGGAAGAAAAGGGACCACATTTTCACACCTGAAGTGCCTGTGGACTTCTTTCTTTCTCTCCCCCCTCCCGTGGAAAGGTGGGTTAGTCCGTTAGTGCGAAAGCACACCACGTCACCTGACCCCCCCGAACCCACCTGCAAGTGGAACAGTCCGCACAATGATAGGTGCTGTATGCGGGCTAACCCACTGCCATTAGAGGGGTGGTTTAGTCAAGGTTAGTGAAAACTGACGTTAAACAGATCACATTTGTAATACACGGAAAGGAAAGAGACAAAAAACACCAAAACCAGGACACACCATGACAGGAGCTTCTGTGACATGTGGTACGTTTAACCCTCAGAGTGTCGGTTACACATAATTTCCCCTGTCGACTAGTCCTGTGACACTGGCACAGGGCTCTAGCCAGCACAGGAACTTTGTGGAGTGTGACAGATAATTGTTAAAACCAATCCGTCAACCTTGATGGACACAATTGACAAAAATCTTGGGTAAAAACATCCAAAGGACCACCAACAACCACTCTCAACACCATGATTTGCCCCTCAAAATGTGCAAAATAGCATTTTTAAAGGCCCCAAATGAGGGAAATTGCATTTTTAAAGGCTTGGAAAATACCAAAACTTGCCGAACGCCCATGAGTTTGGGCTGACGGAAAAAAACTTCAAGGCTGGCAAGGTTTAACTGGAGTTGTCCCCGGTAAGCCTGTCTCAGTGACGTTGATGTGGACCAGACAAGGTGCTGACTTGGAGGGAAACTTCCCCGGTTGGCTTCGTGCCATGGCTGCAAGGCTTCCTCCCTCCAGGGTGGTCCTCTGGCTTATTAACCTTCCCTGCAATTTCCCTGAACTCAGCTACATTCCCCAACATTTCACACTGTCCTCAACCCTCAACCTTCCCTGCAATTTCCCTGAACTCAGCTACATTTCCCAACATTTCACACTGTCCTCAACCCTCAACCTTCGCTGCCATTTCCCTGAACTCAGCTACATTTCCCAACATTTCACACTGTCCTCAACCCTCAACCTTCGCTGCCATTTCCCTGAACTCAGCTACATTTCCCAACATTTCACACTGTCCTCAAGCTTCTTAACAACCCTCAAGCTACTGTACCTGAACCTCAGCCACATTCTCCTGAACATTCCCTGCTATTTTCACAACCCTGAACCCAGCCAACATTCCCCACCATTTTCTATTCCTGCTTGTCTCCACCAGACGGGTTCAAAACAGACTAAAAACACAGGTTCAGAAAAAAGGAAAATTTAGCCAATAGTGAGAATAATTGACTAGGGGAGATTAGCCAGCGAAGAGTTCATTTGCCCACACAACTCTTTCTCTTTCTTACTGAAGTCTAGGATCTGTACCTCCGTAGGAAGCCCAGGTGGAGGCTACACTACCGCCACATGCCCTGCCATTTTCACATAACGTTTCATGTCTGATTTGTCTGGAGGCCTGAGGTGTACCCACATCACAGAAGCTCCCAGGGACAGCTGACGCAACAAAACACGAGTTTCTGTCTGTGGGAAGGGCTCAAAATACTCTTTTTCTGTGACCTACAATGTTGCACGTTTTTCTTTCAATTGCTGAAAATTTCTTTGACATCCTACAAAATTGCAGAAGCTTACATTTCACCTGTCAGTCCTGAAAACTGTGTGTGAATTGCAAGTTGTGCCAAAAACAGTTACTCCAGCAACTGGATATGATTTTGGAAACGGTCAGACGTTTCAGGTAGCATCCACTACCTTTCGTCAGTGACTCTAAGAGACCAGAGGAGAAATGCAGGCTGGTATTTTAGGAAAATTAAAGATTGGTACTTTTGAAACATTCTCCGCAAGTCACAGGTAGTTATTTTGAACCCCGCGTGTTTGTGTGTTTGTTTGTCTGTGCACTGACCTGCCATGTATCTAACGTAGAGTATTGCCTGAGTGGAAACACGGTCCTGTCCGTTGGTGGCCACACAGCGATAATAACCCGTGTCGTGGGTGTCCACTTTCTTAATCCGTAACCGTGAACCCCAGCTGGAAATATAAGAATTTTTTATTTTATTAGTTTGCACATAAACAAAACAGACAATAATAAGACAAAACAAGGATAAAACAGGTGCAGGAGGAGGGGAGAAACATGGAATGCTTATACAAGGCCCTCCTCCTCTAAACTCTGAACTATACAAAATTAAATATAACCAATAAATGGAAATAATACAATAGAAAATGGAAAGATAATCAATTACCTGTAGTTGCGTATTTGTATCCTGCGTCTCTCCGAGGTGAGTGGAGCGTCGTTTTTGTACCAGCGGAAGTTCGGCGCCGGGACACCCTCCACCTTACATCGCAGGACGGCGCGTTCTCCCATCCCAATAGTCACGTTATGCATCGGCTCTACTAGCTGTAGGTATACTGGGGGAACAGAAAATCGGTAATGCTACAGTCAGAGATGGCAGACTTTACCCATAGTAACATTATGAATGAGCTAGAAAAAAATAGTATGAGGGAGCAGATCGCATGGCGAGGGAGGGATTTTTTTTTACAAGAGTAACACAGCTGTATGTTAAGCTAGAATGCATTGTCATACTAGTTTGTTTTACATGGAAAAAAGCCACTTAGAGTTCAATCTGAAAATTAATTAATGAGGGAGCTAGCTGATTACATGAGGGAGCAGCT